AACTAGTCACAGTAAGTTAAAGAGAGGGTCAATTGCGCCTTACCAACGCACTTAAAGAGACCAGAAAACTAAAAATTACCCCAAAGTGTCTAAATGATTCTGTGGCTGAAGTGAAAATTTTGACAAAATCTGGGTCCACAAGTGTAACTTCCTTGAATGTATTGGGTTAGACTGCAAAATTTCAAAATCTGGGGAGAAGGCAAAATTTTCTGGAAAATATGGGTCAGAATGTGTAATTTTCGCTAAAAACCAAATCTGGAACTGCAGAAGCACGGAGGCACGTGGATCTCACACGCAGAGACTGTGATGGCGCATGCAGGCGTGTGGAGGACTTTCTGGCAGTGCAACTCAGGGAACAGGCCGCGTTCCTCGAGGCGGACTTAATGGTGGTTGTTTCACGTTGATCGGATGCTAGAAGAGTGAGATCTGGGTCTCCAAAGTGACGCTTCCGGTGACGTTGCGTAGAGGGAGTTCGGCTGGATCGTGGAGGCTGTTTCCGGTGGTTTCTGGTTGTGAAACCTTGAGATCTGGACGGATTGTTGCCTACGGTGAGAATGGAAGTGGCGGCGCCATGAACGGTCGTCTGAAAATGAGCGAACAATGGTGAAGGAGCGGCGGCTGTGGGTGGTTTTACAACAAGGGCATGTTTGGGGATTGAAAAATGAGTTTGAAAAAAGTAGAATGAAGCAATCAACCTGGCTATGATACCAAAATTGATGTAGAACAAGAAAGGATTGGAAGGGATGAGAAGTTAGAGAAGAGGAAGAAGAAGAGAGGAGGAGCAAAGAAGCAAGGAGAACGGGAAAAAAACTGATCGATAAATTCCAAATGTCAAGTCTGATTACAAACTGAAACCCTAAACTATAAATAAAAGAAAGAAATAAAAGAAATAAAAGAAATAAAATGAGGGGAGTGGGGAAGTGGGGTGAGTGGAGTAACTACCCACGATCTAAAATATAGAAATAATTAACAAAATAAACAATAATAAAAAAATAATTAATTAGTTAAATTAAATCTGCATCACAATGCCTCTTTAGGACAAATAACTAACTCAACTTACTTCCTTAATCTCCTCAAATTAGTCAACTGGTTCTTATAATTAGGATCGGAGGTAGTATATAATTAACAATGATATTTTAGACAAGACAATATCCATTTATTATAATAACGAACTTAACTAATTTTTTGAAGTAATGCGTTACCAAAAAACATATCATAATGATTTCTATTCTATTTTGAAAATTTAGAGTTTAGACTACAAAATCTTTCTATCTTCCCAAGCATACATATTCCATGATTATAATCAAAACAAGATCAACAAAGACGCAATAGAACATGAAGAGTAGTAAAGCTAATAAACATAACAATATCATTAATTATTGTTGCTTCAAATCCAAATACTATAGCTGTAACAATCCCCGTAATTCATGGTAAATAAACATTTTCAAAACGATAATTACTTTAAAAAGGCCAACCATGGTAGGAAAGACAAACCTAATCAAATAGAAATCTACCATAGTCAATAATAATCCAAATCTTTAACAAAGTAGTAGCTACTGTTCTAGAATAGTAAGGATAGTTAATCAAATAAGAAATGATCAACATTTGATTTTTCATGTATATATCAAATCCATCAGCAATACTTTGGAATCTCAAATACAATTAAGACCAATTGTAAAAGGGCTAGGGCATTTAAAGTCCACCAAAACAACTACCACTGCTGCCCATTATCAAGTGCAATCAAAATAACAATCACATATGTCGAAAAAGCCCAATAGTACAAGTCCAGAATGTAGCGGAAAGGCTATGATAATGTTAACTAAAACAAAAGGCCATAAAGTTTGGCAATATACATCAGTCAAATCATGTATATCAAAATAGAGGCTATACAGAGTGGAAAGGAAAACTCAAGCCTCGGACACCTTCCCTTTGGGACCAACACCTGAACCCTCGCCTGAAAAATGTTAAATAACCACGGGGTGAGTTAAATTGACCCAGTAACCACAATTCCAATTCAACAAGTATCCAGGGAGTGATTACAAGATAGTTAAGCGGACAAAGTACAATTTCAAATAACATATAGGATAAATATCCTTACAGAAAACAATATATAATAATTCAAAAGTAATTTGCATGCACAGAACTTCATCAACCATCCTTATAACCTCCTTGTAACCTCTGACAGAACCCATGGGCTATTCACACATAACATGATTCGTCTCTTTTACAAGATTGCACCAAGCTCTCCAATAATGAGGTGTAACTCGGCCAAAAGTCACATAGCTCATATTGGACCATGGGTTCCCTTTCCTTGGAATATGGAAAGGTGTCATGTCCCTTGGGCTGACCCTTGACCTGGCCAAAGGAAGGGTGATACCGAGTGCCCTAAGAATGTTAATGCCAACCACTGGGCGCCAAGTGGCGGCTATACCACGTGGTATAAATAATCAGACCTCCCACAACTACATTTCAGCACAACCAACACAGCCCAATCCAACCATCCAATTCCACACAATTTCATATCCATAAAGTATTCTCAGATTCAATAATCAAATTTGTTCAACATCAACAAGATATTCATAAGATGAAATAATTCATGCCCACTTAGCTAATAAATTTAACGAAACATAAATCTTGATATAGATATATAAATTACTTTTCATACAAAAATCACCATAACATATATTGATAACATTTATAATATCAACACATGCTTATAATCACATCAACAAGCATACAAGGTAAATTAGAAAGTGGTTACCTCAAGTTCTTGACACAAGAACTAAAAATAGGAGAATTCAAACCCAAGAGTCCAAACCAAGCTCACTCTACAACAATAAGTTTATAAACATATATTAATAAAAAGACTAATTAATATAGCATTAAAATAGTTTATTTACTAAATCCCCATAATTGGCTTGCTAAAAAAAATTATCTTTAGAAAAATAATAATTCATCTATTCCTCCAAGTGACAATTCCTAATACTTCCCAACTCTATTTCTCTCATTCACATCATTAATAAGGATATTTCCTTCAAATCATCCAAAAATCTCCAAAAAGTGTTTACTTTAACTCTTAGAAAAATAATCATATACCATCTATGCCTCCAATCATTATTACAATCCTATTCCCTTCTTCCATTAATCATTTCTCATTCATTAGAGTCAATAACTTATAATATTTTCCTCAATTTACTCCAAACACCCAACTTTCACTACTTAAAGTCTCTCCAAGAATCATCAACGTTACTATTTCAACAACAATCCTCAAAGTTTAAGCATTGGATCCTCAATATAACCTCAAATGAACTCAACTAAGAGATAAATTTCGAAATTAATATCATCATTAACACAAATCACCATTTTCCAACCAAACCCTAACTTATATTGTCTCAAATCAACCATCCAACTAAAATCTAAGTCATAAGACTCTTATTCTAACCACATAAGCTCCATTAATATCCTAATACTAAATTAGAAACCTTAAAAATTAAAAATCTAACAAGCCCTAATAAACTTTATTTTCTGCCATAAACTTACAGAAATAAAAAGAAAAAACTAAATAAAAATAATAGGATGAAAATAGATTACCTAAATATCTTATATGTACCCAAGGTAGAGCTCTTTTCTTTCTCACACCCTCAATCTCCCAATCACTCTCACTCACTGTTCGGCGATGACAGAGAGGCACGGACAAGGGAAAGCGAACGAAGCGGAAAGGGGAGGGGGAAATGATTGAAAGTGGGGGTTACACGTGACCCCCACTTGAAATGCTTTTGCTATGCTATTTATATATATATATATATATATATATAAAAGAGCCACAGCCCAAACAGGGGGAATTAACCCCCCCACCAACAGGCGGTGGGTAGCCCACGTGCCACCCACTTGCCCTTTTGATTTTTTTTCCTTTTATAATTTATATGTATATCACAAAAATTATGATTTACAATCTACACAATAATATTAAATTTTAAATATTATTAATTAATCTCATACCCATATAACTTAAATCCTATAATAAGATAAAGAAAAATGGAACGTTACAATAGCTGCATTTAACGATCAATTGTTTCACTTGTAAACTCCCAAATGCAGTTAGAAAAATGTTTTTACACAAAACCTTTTTCATATACTGACCTCTTGCTGATCTGAACACCCTATTATTAAAAAACCTAAAGGAATGGCCTCAAACCTTCTGTCAAAGCTGATGATGAAAACATGGCAGGTTTCAGAATTCTCCATACCTGCATTGAAACCTAACCAAGTTAATTAAGCACCAATAGCATACAGCTTATATTTGGGGGGTGATTTTAAGCACAGGAGTACTAGAAGAATAACCAAGAAAACTAGAAAACAATACATTTTCTTAGTTTATGCCTCGTTCACACCAAATTCTATGTCTCTTACTTCCAAATCTTGCTGTTGGACTTTGGATTCACTCAGTAATTCTTTAGCAGCTGGACATGAAAATGACTGAAAGGACAAATCATCTGCAACCATCATCTTTAATCTCCATAAAGTGTGACACATGTAAGATTTTTTCCCGATTTTGGAGGCAATGAGATTGGATGAGTTCTTGTTCACTAAAGTTGTAAGTATGGATCTTATGTCATGATCCCAAAAGAAGTGAGCCCAGGAAATGACCCAAAAGGTGGCCCAAATCTCATATGCAAGCACAACCAGAGGAAGAGACACAAAATGTGGTTACTATGGGATTTGGAGGGTCAGGCGGAGTATAATAAGGACAAAGTCTGTTATGGAGGGGGTAGAAATGATTATGGTCTCTCTCTCTTCCCCCTGAAGATTCTTTCCCTGCTAACTTCCTGCTTCCTTCTTTCTGCTCCTTTCTGCAACTCTGTAATTCACTGATATTTGCATATTCCATTGTATTAAGTGCATAATTTCTATATATGTGACTGAACTTAATCCATTGAACCATATATTTTATCATTTTCGTCATTCATATGTGTATTTTCAGTCTTGACCATTACATCTTACACCAACACCCACGGTCGAAAGTTTCAAGCTCCCGTACAAATTATCAAGGCACCCCTAACCAGCTAAGAAGCCTAAAAATTTAACTGCTCCCAGTGGTAGAGTGAGGAAACTTAGAAGTTGATCCGTGAAATTTGTTTCTGCTTCTACAAACAGTATTTTGTTTTTTGATTTTGACACTACTACCTTCAACCTTATCTTATGACCCCCATTGTCTTATGACTGATTCACTTAAAAAATGGACTGTGATTTTGTTTGGAGGTTCTGATAATGAACATGCAGTTCCTTGCGCAAGAATAAATTAGTCAATGGTGTCTCTGACCATAACAACGTCAACTTGAGCAGATCCCATAGCTTCACAAAACAAAGCATGAATAAATGATGGGACTAGAAATAATAAGGAGGAAGAAATCAAATTAAGCAATGAAGAGAAATCAAGGGGAAAAAATACGTGGAATGTCATTTTGACGAAAAATTACACTTACCACTGTCTCACTGACATTCACAGTTAATCTCTTGGGAACATACACAACCCCAAAATTCTGTATTATCCACAAGGTATTTATATCACTAGGCATCACTGTTAGATCATCACAAACTAACCAAAATATTGGCAACCGACCGCCAATATAGCCATTAAAAAACTGAGAGCTCTTCATCATCAAAGTCATATCGAGATCCATATATCCCATTGAGTTGATTGGATTTAGGAACTTTCCGTTATTCCAATCTTTAATAAAATACGTTGGGTCCAGATTTTCTACACTTCACCGCAGTGAGAAAATACAGTTAAATTTGAAAGGCTGTACACTAGAGTCCTTACTTACAAGTCTAGAGATAGTTCCCAAGGGCAACATGAAGAAGCTAACTAAAATATCGATAAAGTCAAACCCCACTTCAGCATAAAGAACCTTACTTTTCTCATCGTCTATGAATAAAGTCAATGAAATGTCCTCCAATTTCTGCAATGAAGCCATGATCGAAATGGTGCATTGCATAGATTTGTTCTTTATGCAGAAGAGACTAAATCCTTCGTACCCATATTGACAACTTTGTTGGAGGGTATTTGAAAAGAATCTGCAAGAAGATATATAGATATGAGGCACAAAGAAATCATAGAATAAATTGTGATTGTAAAAGTGAGTGATTTGGGCAAATTTAGAAGCATAAGATGTCTTCAAATGAAGTCCACTCATGATTAGGCATTAAATTTCCCATTTTCATTTAGGTTGAGGAAATCATAATAAGAGTGAGATTGATCAAGGTGCAATTCAAAGAAAATCAAAATACTAATGACTACCTTATAATACCTTTGCTAATCATGTGTATTAGTTAAAACTACCATTTGATAAAGTTTGTTAAGTCAGTCATTTGTAATAAATAGGTGTTATCTTCCTTATAATACCCTTGCTAATCATGTATATCAGCTAAAACTACCATTTGATGAAATTTTTAACATATATAACTACTATAAGGACTATTTTTAAAAAAATACATAAATATGAGAGATAAAGTGAATTCGGGTCTTATATTTAGAACTAAATTGAAAGTCAAACTAGCTCTTATATTTAGAATTGGGAGTAGTACATTTTTTTCAACAACCACAATCATCAAGACAACCTAGAGTGGTTAATCCATTCTTCAATTGATAGAGCATGTAATAACCCAATTAAATGTATTTAAAATAAGTTTAGTAATCTAGAGTATTAATGGGTATAAATTTTTTTTGATCACTTACACCCGTCCCTTTAAGTTAAAAATGTCACTCCTAACATAGCTGCCCAAAAGCCAATAGTAAATCAATTTCACTCTAATACAATTGTATGGGTCCAGTAGGTATATTCCTATTTTAATGACAAATTAGAACAATTTATAATCCCAGGCTACCCAATCCAGTGGTCCAATTAAGATTTCGTTTTCCAAAACTAATCTAAATTCCTCAAGTTCATACTTAATGTTGGTCAAACATTAGATAGATAGGAAATCCAAGATTGAGTAAACAGATAATATTAAGCACATATAAATGGTTCCAACATGCTCTAATCCAAAAATCAATGATTCACAACATGCTCCTTCATAGCAACTCTAGGGTCAGGGCAGAGAAAAAACTACCCACAACAACAACAATAAGTCTTATCCCACTAGGTGGGGTCGGCTACATGAATCACACGACGCTATCGTGCTCTGTTAACAACCCAATCCTTAGATATGTTGTTGACTAGGAGGTCTCGTTCAATGACCTCATTAAGTGTTCTTCTCGGTCTTCCTCTGCCCCTTTTTATGGGACTCCATCTTGTCTGATCCACCCTCCTCACTGGGGCCTCCAATGGCCTTCTTTGCACATGTCCAAACCATCTTAAATGATTTTCAATTATTTTCTCTTGGATAGGTGCCACACTGACTCTTGCCCTGATATTTTCATTTTGAATCCTATCTTTTCTTGTATGACCACACATCCATCTCAACATCCTCATTCCTGCTACCCCGACTTTATGCTCTTGTTTTCCTTTTATTACCCAACATTCACTACTATACAACATAGCTGGTCTTATAGTAGTCCGATAAAATTTTCCTTTAAGTTTCTTAGGTACCTTCTTATCGCAAATAACTCCGGTAGATTTCCTCCACTTTAACCAGGCAGCTTGTATTCTATGAGAAACGTCTCTATGAATTTTCCCATCCTCCTGTATAATGGATCCTAGGTATTTAAACTTTGATACTTGATGAATGATTTGCTCTCCCATCTTCACCTCCAAATCCCCATTGTCTTGCCTCCCCCCAAAATCACAATGCATATATTTTGTTTTGTTCCTGCTCAAGCGGAAACCTTTCGACTCCAAAGTCCTTCTCCATAACTCCAATCTAGTGTTAATCTCTTCTTTTGATTCCTCCACGAGAACTATATCATTCGCGAAAAGCATGGACTTAGGGATTCTTTTTTGAATAGGTTCAGTTAGAACATCCAGAACAATGTTGAACAAGTACGGACTCAAAGAGGATCCTGATGTAGACTAATCTTAATAGGAAAGTCCTTTGTCTCACCTCCAGGCGTCCTTACACTGGTAGTTACCCCTTCATACATATCTTGTATGACTTTGATATAAGCAACCCGTACACCTTTCTTTTCCAAAGCCTTCCATATTACTTCTCTTGGCACATGATTATAAGCCTTTTCCAGGTCAATAAAAACCATATATAAATCCCGTCTTTTACTCCTATATCTTTCCATTAACCCCCTTAGTAAATAGATTGCTTCTGATGTGGATCTTCCTGGCATAAATCCAAATTGGTTTTCTAAAATAGAAGTCTCTAGCCTCAACCTATATTCCATCACTTTTTCCCATAACTTCATTGTGTGACTCATAAGTTTTATCCCTCTGTAGCTTGCACAATTTTGAATGTCTCCTTTATTCTTGTAAATAGGAACTAAAATGCTTCTCCTCCAATCATCTGGCATAATCTTAGAGCATAAAATTTCATTAAAAAACTTGGTAGCCACACCTCACCTCATCGCCCAAACATTTCCAAACTTCAATAGGGATACCATCAGGCCCAACGGCTTTTCCATTGTCCATTTTCTTGAGACCTGCCTTAACCTCTCCGATACGGATCCTGCGGTAGAAAGCCAAATTCCGATTATCTTCATTAATTAGCAAGTCTTGTAAGTCCTGAGTGGCATAATTGCTTCCCTCATTAAACAACTTGTAAAAGTAAGCCTCCCATTTGTCCTTAATATCACCATTAGTAACTAACACTTTACCATCTTCATCCTTTATACCCTTTACTTGGTCCAGATCTCTCTTTTTCCTCTCCCTTTGCTTCGCAATCTTATAAATATTTCTTTCTCTGTCTTTGTTCCTAACTCTTGATAAAACCCCTCATAAGCTTTAGTACATGCTTCGCTCACTGCTCTCTTTGTCTCTTTTTTAGCCAACTAATACCTTTCCTAGTTTCTACACTATTGCACAAATGTATGGCCTTAAAAACAATCTCTTTTCTATTTGACTTTCTCTTGCACACTCTTATCCCACCACCAAGTCTCCTTATCTCTCTGACCAGGACTTTTGGATTCTCCTAAAGTGCTTTAGCTACCAAACAAACCATTGTAGCTATCTCTTCCCACATCATGTTTGCATTTCCTTGCGACTCCCAAATCCCTTCCTCAAAAGGGTCCTTTTGAATAACTCCCGCTTCTCCCTTTAACTGCCACCACTTAACCCTAGGTTTTACCACTTGATGGTACTTTGCTTTTGCCTGGTACTCTTAAAACGTACATCAAGGATAAGTACTCTATGTTGGGCAGTCACCCTATCTCCTGGAATCACTTTGCAATTAGTACACAGTCTTCTATCCAGATTCTTAACCAAAAAGAAATTAATCTCTGATTTTGAGGCACCACTTTTGTACGTGATTAAATGCTCCTTTCGCTTCTTAAAACAAGTGTTGACAATCTTAAGATTATATGCAAGAGAAAAGTTGAGAATAGATTGTCCTCCACTATTAAGCTCCCCAAAACCAAAACCACCATAGGCCCCCGCTGAATTGTCCTACTTCCTTACCAACATGTCCATTAAGGTCCCCACTGATAAAATTTTTCTTCGAGTGGTATGCTTTGAACCAACCCCTCCATATCTTTCCAGAACTTATCTTTAAGGTGTGCCTCTGCCTCAACTGAGGTGCATAAGCACTAATGATATTTATAGTATCATTTCCAACAATTACTCTTAATGATGTTATTCTGTCCCAAACCTTTTAACCTCTACTATGTTTTTTCTATGTTCCATCAACGATAATACCAACCCCATTTCTTGCACTCACTTTTTCTGTGTACTAAAGTTAGTTTATACTCTCCAAGTTCCTTGGCAGCTTCTCCAGTCCATTTGGTTTCTTGGAGGCAAGATATTAATCCTTCTGTCCCTCATAACTCCTGCTACTTTCATAGATTTCTCATTTAGCATCCCAATATTCCAAGTGCCAAATCTAATCTCAGTCTCATGAACTAACTTCTTTAGCCGCATTCATCCAAGAGAGTGCGGTAGCCCTCACTCATAACACTACATCGGACATAGAGAGTGACGATGCAATGGCTAGCTCATTTCTCATTATACTCGAGCCATACAGCGCGTCACTTCTGGGCAACGACCTAGCATTAGCATAATTATTTCGTTGATCCATGTTCATGAGATTCGACAGGTTTTTACGTTGGCTGTCGAGGGCCTAACACAACCCTCCTCCTTTATCCAAGCTTGGGACTGGCTATACAATATAGGCGAAGTTAGAGAAAAAACTACCCACACGTGGTTAAAATCAAACTCGTTGCAACACAACTAAATTCACACCCAAATAAACATAATGAAAAGGAAGAGGAAAACAAAAGACTGTATAATGTCTTCCCCTACTTCTGTCAGGAAGAAAGACAGAGAAAAACGAGAAGCAGAAGCTTTCTCCTTTCCACTATTGTTCCTGCAGAAGAAGAACCAGAGGCTGGCTTGAAGAAGAAGGAAACTGAAGCAGAGAGACGGGCACCCTTTCCTCTCAGATTGCCTTTTGAAGTTATATAGACAAGGAGTGAGGGGAAAAAGAATTTTTAGATTTTATTAAAAAGAGTTGTGTTATTCAGAGTAAATTGTTTAAATAGAATGATTCTGTGCGAAGTCTTTCATATTTAAGTTGGAAGACAGAGACTTTTTTGGCCAACGAAAAGACAGAGACTTACCAATAATATCTTTTTTTGCCCAGAGACTTGCCAATAATATCTTGAATTTTCTGCCTTACCATCTAAAAGTGAATTTGATTTTATGTGAACATTAGAATATATAACAATAAGTTGATGATATAATTAATAAACGTTGGCAACAAAGAAGAAGAAGGTATAATTAATATACATCAAATAGACTAAAACACAGTGCATCATTCTCTCACTCTGTATCCTCGGTGCACCAAACATTAACTCTAAAGTAAAATATTAAACAAATGTAAAGTGATAATTGCAAGGGTCCATTATGTTTTTTGACCGGTAAAATGTCGAGTCAATCCTGCCCTAACCGCATAGAGTTATAGCACATTAAGTCCAACAAAAAAATTTTTCCCAAAAATAAATATAAAAATCAATTATTCCTTTTAAGTTTACAAGCCAATTTGTATATTTTATCATTTATCATTTACGAGACATGGTTACTTTACAAACCGAAACCCCAGAAGCCTACGATATATGAATATGCAGCAAACGAGGAGGCGCAACGCCTTGAGAAATACTACTCTTAAAAGATCATTATATATAAGGAACTTTTTTTGAGTAATCATATAAACATCTTCAACTGCGTCAGTACATCTTGTTTTTGCTCTTTTAAGATTATGGTTCAAAAAACTTCATGCTACCAAATATTATATGGGTCACACAAAATAAATAGTGGCAAAAATCAAAGTCAATCCCACAGAGAACTCAATTAACAATGATTAGGTAGTATAAAACCTCTTTTGTTTAAGCTGAGTAAATCAAAATTTTATGAAATTGAGTGGAAAGAAATTAACATAAACAAAACAAAGCTTTATCAAATTAATTAAAGCAAATGTTTAAAAAGACCAACCAATAGTCACCAATTCCTTGCTAGCTTCTCCAATCTTCTGTCATTTAATTGATTAGCTTTAATGTTAGTTTTGTTAATCTAGAGTATAATTAGCTACAAATGACCATTGACTTATAACTTTCTCTTAAATTAATTATGTAATCTCTCAACACATTAACTAAGAGGCTAAACAAGCTGGTCTCACTCTCTCAACAATTATACGGGATAATTAGGTATATTTATTCTAATCACAAATTATGTTATTAATCCAATATCATATTACTTAATCAAAGAGCTTAATTAAAATTCTTTTGTCAGGTAAAAATTAATTTTCAAATTCACGCTTAATGGTGGGCAGCCATCAAATGGACAATAAAAAAACAAGATTAAGTAACCAAAATTTAATATTAAGCATTCTCA